TATTTATATCATTTTAGGTAATAATGAAATATTGTACTTGAAAAAGTGCAATAACAGTTATAACAAGGCCTTTTCAAGGTCAAACTGACATACTTATTCTTTTAGCAGTTTTGCAAATGAATGATTGACCCTTTTAAATGGCAAAAGATGGAATGCAGACCAAAGYTGTTGACTTATAATCAATTCATGCAATTTAGTTAATAATTTCAAAGAAAATCAGAAATAAGAGGATAAATGGATCAAAATATGCTAGTATGCAATGTATATGCTTGTATGTCTGGTATAAAGATTTAAAAAATCCTAAAAAATTGCCTACATTAAGATTAAGAAATATTTAATAGTATAAAACAGTACTTGAGGGCCATGCAAGTAAAACGATGGTGGTCGACGCAAGGCAAACAATTTCAGCCAAACAGACTGTGCWGCAGGAKTTTRCACGYGGAACATATAGTAAATAAATTTCGTTGACTGAATGAGCCGGTTTCTCAGTTCTGAATTCAATTATCGAAGTTTAAAACCTGTTGTTCAATTGGATCACGTTAGCTAAAAAACTTCCCATATTCAGGAAACTAGCTATGCGATCGACGTCACACTTCAGACATAAGGCATTAAAGTGTTTAATAAAAAGACCTTTTTTTCAAAAAATCTTTCGCTTTTAAGATTGCAAGCATCAATTGAAGTTCATCGAACTCTGGAAAAAACGTCTGGGCTGATCTGCGTTAGGACAAGGCTAACCCACAAATCAAACCCTGAAACAACCTCTGGGCTAATCTAGGTCAGGGTACGGCTAACCATAGGCAATGTCCTGAAACAACCCCTGGACTGATAAAAGTCAGAGCACCAATAACTCACAGGTACAATTTGGATTTTAGCTTGTTGGGTTTTGCGCAGGGTAAACATATAAATAGCGATAAATTGAGTCTGCATACCTTGAAATTAACAGCGGTATGTTTTGTTGAAAAAAAGGATCCCTTCGAATTCCTTTTGAAATTACGCGATTATTTTTTATTTCAACAATTTATGGTTACAAACTTAATAAGGAGCTAGGCTTCAGCCTCAAACACCTCTTCCTCAGGTTCTTCATCGTAGTCATCTTCAGCAGTAGCTTCCTGATACTGCTGATATTCTGATACCAAGTCGTTCATGTTTGATTCTGCCTACACAAAACACGAACATTAAGCATTATTTGATTAGTGTTCATTATTATAAATATCTCTTTCTATTTAGATGTGCGCGATGGCTGTATGACTGACAGCACTTTCGTTTTACTATCATCGTCTTCGTCTTCATTATCATCATCTTCATAATAATAATAATAATAATAATCATAATCATAAGCATCATCATTTTCATCACCATCAACAACATGACTTTCATCACCATCAAGATCTTGATTATCGCCACATCATGCATCATCATCATTATCGTCACTATCATCAAAATCACCATCACTATCACCAGTAGGACGATGCAGGATTATTTTAATCTTCACACCATCACCATCACCATCACCACCACCATCACCATCACCATCACCATCACCATCACCATCACCATCACCATCACAAACACCATAACCATCAACACTGACCATCATCACCATCAACATCACCATTACAACCAACGCCACCATCACCACCAACATCACCGTTAGTGCAATTTTTGTATGACTGTGAAAAGCTCTGTGCCGTATACGTGCTTTGCCGTGACCGTGGTTTCTAGAATTTTGATTGGCTGATTTTTTTTCTCGCGCAATGTGATTGGTCTGACAGTGCCGTGACCTTGGCGTGGCCGTGTCTGCGCTGGTTTTATGTCGTGTTCCGGGTATTCGATTGGATGGAGAGTAAATTCTCGTGCAATGTGATTGGTCTGGCGTATCCCTTGCCTGGTCACGACTGTGTTTACGCCGTGAGGTTTTCACAGTCATACGAAAACTGCTCTACCACCATTACCATCATTACCACCAACACCACCATTACCATCAACACCACCATTACCCCCAACATCACCATTACCACAAACACCATCATTACCACAAACACCATCATTACCACCAACACCATCATCACCAACAACACTATAATTACCACCATCACCACCACCATCACCACCATCACCACCATCACCACCATCATCACCACCATTACCACAAACACCACCATCACCACCAACACCACCATTACCATCAACATCACCGTCACCACCATTACCACCAACACCCCCATTACCACCAACATCACCACCACCACCATTACCATCAACATCATCATCACCACCAACATCACCATTACCACCAACACTCCCATTACCACCAACATCACCATTACCATCAAAACCATCACCATCACCATTACCACCAACACTCCCATTACCACCAACATCACCATTACCATAAACAACATCTTCACCACCATGGTACTAACAACATCATGATAATGTTTTATGAGGCGCTTTAACTCTCCTAAGTGATCTTCAGTACGGACCAAATAAATATGAAATAACTACATGGAAAAGTTTTTTTTAAATCGTAAAAGATAAAACAAAGCCTACAATTTATTTTTTTAATTATTTAAAGGTTCTTATCATTAATATGTGAAAACAATCATACATGACACAATGTTGGTTTGATAATGGTGGGGACATACATACCTCGGTGAATTCCATTTCATCCATTCCTTCGCCAGTGTACCAATGAAGAAAAGCTCTACGCCTAAACATGGCGGTAAACTGCTCCGCGATTCTCTTGAACAGCTCTTGAATGCTAGTGCTGTTACCGATGAAAGTGCCTGACATTTTGAGCCCACGAGGAGGGATATCACAGACAGCGGTCTTCACGTTGTTGGGAATCCATTCCACGAAGTAAGAACTGTTTCTGTTCTGTACATTTAGCATCTGTTCGTCAACCTTCAAGAAAGCCAATGTCAATACCATGGATGGGTGCAGAGCCGGGAACGTGAAAGATTATTAATATTTTTATATTCAGGGAACTTATGGTAAGGTAGATAACATATGAAGTAAATAATACTATATGTAATGAGCTAAGAATGAATAAAGACAAAACGTATAAAGCGCCACTGAACAAAATACAGCTAATTCCCAAGATAGAGAAGAGAGAGAGAGAAAGAGAGAGAAAGAGGGAGGGAGGGGGGAGCTAGGGAGGGGAGGGAGAAATGGAGCTAAGGAAAATGAAAGCAAGAAAGCAAAGAAGGAACTTAAGGAAGGAAGTGGCTGATCATGAGCTTTACACCAGTGTGTATAAATGGCGAGATCCTGATCCTGACTTAAACTAGCAGCTAAAGCTGACAGTAGTCCCCTTCACAGTTTCCGGCGCCATCTTGAAAGGTGAGCTTGCAATGATAGAGACATGTCAACAATTGTCCAAGGTGTTAAAAAGGGTATCTATCATTGCATGCTCACCGTTCGTCTCGCTTCGATGCAAAGGCACGGATACCTTTCAAGATGGCGAAGGGAAATGTAAAAGGGACTATTACATATACACTATAAAAGTGCACGTTACACAGTGGATTATGCGGTGATCTTTACTTCGAGTGATACATTCTACCCTACCTCTTTCATCGACATCTTCCCTCTGAAAATGGCTGCAACAGTCAAATATCGACCGTGCCTTGGATCACAAGCAGCCATCATGTTCTTGGCGTCAAACATTTGTTGAGTAAGTTCAGGAACGGTCAAAGATCTAAAGGACTGCGAGCTACGGCTGCTCAGCGGTGCGAATCCCGGAATGAAAAAGTGAAGACGCGGGAATGGAACCATGTTGACAGCAAGCTTTCGAAGATCGGCGTTTAACTGTAATCGATAAAAAATAAATGTACGTAAAGTAAAATGCGGAGTATAACTAGAATTCCCTCCAATTTTATCGATACCCTGAAGAAAACCTGTAGCGGGCTTATCAATGTCAGGCAAGGGCATCGAATCACAATTTAGCTGGTGAGAATTTTGCGGCGAGAAGAAAACCAGAGAAAGCGTAGAAAAAACTCTCTAATCAAAGGAGCAAGATTGTTGGCTCTCTCCCGTCATTTAGCGGTTTTCTCCGGGTTCTCCGGTTTTCCTCCCTCGGCAAAACCCAACACGCTAAAGCCCAATGCAATCTACGAGTTAACCGTGCCCTGACTCAGCTATATCAGCCAAGAGGTTGTCGAGGAATAAGTAGGTATACGTAATGTTAATGTCTTTACTTATAAAATTTAAGGTTTTTTAATATATATCTAATTGCAGTGTCAATGACAACCAGGAGGGAGCGTCTCTATTGTTTCCCGCCTCGCATTTCAAGAAAGTGTTGTTTCCATACGTCACGTCACACAGCAACCGATGGATTGCTTCGGGATTCTTGTTCTTGTCGATGTAAGTATATCTTGACCCCCTTATCCGTCATCTAATCCGTCTTCTATCCGTCATCTATCCGTCTTCAAAGTTCGCATCATTTTGAAAATTTAATGAGCTGGAACATGATGTCGGGAATAGGAAAAACACTTTTCTAGCTATCATTTTCCTAGAGACGCCCCCTCCTTCCTGATGACAACATACCTGTCCTGGAAACCGCAAGCAAGTAGTGATGCCACTCATAGTTGCCGACACCAAATGATTCAAATCCCCGTATGTGGGTGTGGTTAGTTTCAGAGTCCTGAAGCAAATGTCATATAGTGCTTCATTATCGATACAAAACGTCTCGTCCGTGTTCTCCACCAACTGGTGGACGGAGAGAGTGGCATTGTAGGGTTCGACAACTGTGTCAGACACCTGAATGGAAAAAAATAAGATTTCTTTTTAGAAATAAAAGGATTGATTGATTAACAGAGTTCTTAAGGAAGAAGGGTCCTTTCTTAGCCCTTCTGAGCATCGAGTTCTTCTGCGACTTAATTAACTGTAACTTATACTATTCAACTTATTTATTCATTATCGTGCGCGTAAAAAGTAGAATAAACTTTATTTAACGTCGTTATTTTGTCGACAGTCCGTCGGTAGTCCGTAGGTAGTTTATGTAAAGTAGTGGTGACTTTTAGTAGCAGTTACAATCGTAGCGAGATACACAAGACCCTTGCCAGCTTCCACAGGTATCTATCAATTTGTCTTTTCATCTCTGGGCTTCCTGTGGAAGGTTTCATGGTATGTTGCTATTGCAGTGCTAATGCCAACTCTACCCATTTTTTCCCTCATCCTCGGAATGTCTAATACCCCAAGTAATGAATTACCTTTGGTGATGGAACGACACTGAATGAGTTCATTATCCTATCCGGGTACTCTTCTCGAATCTTTGAGATCAATAGAGTACCCATACCAGCCCCAGTACCACCCCCAAGGGAGTGCGTAAGCTGGAATCCCTGCATACAGTCACAGCCTTCTGCTTCCTTTCTGATCACGTCGAGAACGCTGTCTACTAGCTCAGCACCCTCGGTATAATGTCCCTTGGCCCAATTATTGCCAGCACCACTCTGACCTGGGTTAAACAAATAGTGCAAAAAACGTTTATCAAAAACTATGCAGCTTTTAAAAAAAATTATTATTATACGGTATCATACTTTACTGGAGCAATAGCGTAGCTTAGCATTTAAGCGCTTGAGAATAAATTTATGCCAGTTAAACAAAGAATAAACATGGCTGCCGCATGAGTAAGACCCAAGGTCTATGAAGATTTCTTTTGGTTCTTCGATATAATTTTGAGTAAAGTGCTTCCAGACAGCTGATCCGAAACACATGGGTAGCTTATAACACAAGCTGCATATAATAATGCTATTTCTTAAAGTATATTATATTCTATACGCGAAATGTCGAAAATTTGAAAGAAATTTCAAAATGTTTTGAGGTTGGTATAAGCGAAAAACCCTGCTCAAGTGAATGATTTAAAGCACCCAAAAAAATGAACCAAGGTTTTTAAAATTTGTTTGTGTGGATGTATGTTGTGTGTG